GAGAGAGAGAGAGAGAGTCCGGCGGTGGGCGCTGCTGTCGGAGACTCGTCGAGGGCCTCCACACATTGCAGTCCGTCAAGGAAATGGAGCGCCTCTTTTCGACGCCGTCTAAGAAAATGGCCTAGGTACAAAACTTGGGTCTTTGCCCAATCGCACTTTTTTGCATTGATCTTGAAGTTAGCTTCCCTCWGCTTCTCCAAGACCTGCCTGAGATGACCTTGATGCTCGTCAAGGGTCTTACTAAACACTAAAATGTCATCTAAGTAAACTACGACGAATCTGTCTAACCATGGCCTAAACAAATCGTTCATACACCGCTAGCCCCGAGTGCCATCCTCCTACCCTATAGGGAGACCTATTCCTAGGACGGTTTTGCGGGGGACCTTGACCCCTTCCTCCCGCTTGGCGGTTTCCTCCTCTGCCGCCAACCCCTGATCGCCCTGGAACCGGCTCCCTGAGGCCCGACCCTCTTGGCCCTGGCCTCGTCCTCCTCCTTGCGGCCTCTTTTCAACCGCGACAGCAGCGTAAGATCTCCCTTGACCCACACCGTTGTCCTCCTCCTCTAACCCCCACTCAATCTGATCGTAGGGGATCTCATCCACACTACCCTCATCTAAGGTTAGGACAAGACTATCCTTAGTCTTCACTTGCCCAGAAATAGTGCGGCCCTTCCATTGCTTTCCCTTATCCAAATCTTTGTGCCAGAAGGTGGAGACTGGCATAGACTTGGCCTCAAAGGCCACCACCTCACGGCTAAGGGAATCGTAAGTAGTGGCAGGGTCTTCGCTCTTCGCGAAGAAGTGCCCGCGAAAAGCTTCGGGCATAGCTCTGTAAAAGAGGGCAACCAATTGGGTGTCGGTAACCCCGTGGTCAGGGACAGCTATTAGTTCGTCCATTGTGCTCTTGAGCGCTCAGGCACTCTTCCACTTACGAGCATGGATCGTCTGGAGCTTGTCTGAGGCCTTGACACTTCGAGCGACATCAGCGAATCGTTTGCGCAGCAGCTTCAAGAATTCAATGAGGGAAGTGAACGAGGAGTACGCAACTGGATCGTCACTACAGTTGACAGCGCGAACTAGGGACCTTGCAAAGCTGGCGACTTCATCTCTAAGCGCGTGAATCGCAATTAGAACCTGCTGATCTGGGGAGACCTGTTGCAGATGCACATAGGTCTTGACATTGGCCTCCCAATTGTCAAAGTTCTCTTCCCGTTTTCCACTGTAGGAATCAGGGAATTTGACTTTGACCGGCTCCCGGCGAGGAGGACGTGCTTCCTCCTCCTTGGGAGCTGCCGCTTTAATGTTTTCAATGGCGCCGGCACAAAACCGCTCAGTCTTATCGAGGCGGTGGCCCACCTCGGTTCCTACAGCGCCTACCTGCTCACGAGCAAAGTCCCGGAATCCCAACCGTATCGAACGCACAGCTATATGCTGGCTCCTACTAAAGGCGTATTGCTCTGCCTGAATTCGTGCTAGGCGTGCAACGTTTCGTGCTATGACTCACATTTGGGCTGGGAGTTCGGTCCCGGTGGCTAATTGCTCTTCTATCTTTTTTACCTCCTCTAATTCTTCTGCCGCCTCCGCTGCCGCGTCCACTCCCCTCTTCTCTTCCCTCATCACTGCCAATCTTCATTCCATCCTCTTCTCATCTTCCATCGCCTGCCGCTTTACAACATCTTTTTCTGCTTCCCAAACTCTCATAGCGGCTTCCTGATCGTCCTTAGAGATATACATCGCCACCTCTTCTTCTTCGCCCAGGGATAAGTTGGCGACCCACTCTGAGATCCGCTTCTCCATCTCCTCATCCCTACTGCCACTGTATTGCCCCTTCTTCCTCTGCAGTGGCGTTTCATCTTCTTCCTTCTCTTCCACCTCTTTCAACTTCTCTTCTTCTTCTTTCTGTATCCTCTCTTTCTCTCTGGCCATCTCTTCTTCTATCTTCTTCAATTTGGCCGCCTGCTCCTCCTTCAAGGCCTTCTTCTTGGCCTCCTTCTTCTCCTTCCTCTCCTGCAGAATGGCGGCCATCTTCTCCTCCTCCTCCTTCATGTAAGGTTGGGTGGAAGTACTACCCCGAGTCCCTACTCTACACGTGAACGTGGGCCAGAAGCCCAGAGGAAAGAGGAGACGCCAAAGGGTCCCCCAGAGGGAGAACCCAACAAGCAACCCATACATCGGATAGTCGTCCATCGTGGTGTTAGGTGCACGACAAGGGTCCCACTCCTCACCACTTAGACCTACCCGGACACTGCCCCACTGACTGACTCTCTAAGATCCATTACTCACAACTACTCTAAGGCTGTCACTACTGAACTAACAGCTGATCAGGAGGCATTTAAGGAGATTCCCCAAAATCCGCAAGAATTTTTTAATGTCGCAGTCAGGACGACGTGATCAGCGTAGTTCTTCCTGGCGATTTTAGCCCACAACTCAGCCGTTCCGGCCTACTGTGCCACACCGAGCAGCCCGCCGGTCTGTACCGGTCCTTGGAGGGGTTTATGTCCCTCGGGGCAGTCGAGTCGTCAGACACAGATCATCAACCTTACTAGGTCCGGTAGGGGAGTGGTTCAACCAGGCCTCAACACTTAAAGACGGCCTTCGTTTCAACCTAGAGCTCGGCGTTCGGACCCTCTACACTAAACTCAGTAGACCTGCCGGACAGTACCGGTCATTGGGCTAGACGAGTTGTTTAACGAGCGCTCGCCGCTCATGCCCAGGTCTCCAGATGCCAGAGTAGAGATTAGTCCTACTAAGTCCCGTGCAGGTTTGGCAGCAAGGCCCTATCCTTCATCCACAGAGTCCTAACACCTAGGACAGAAGAGACTCAATGCAGAAAGGAAAGACAAACAGACTCAACTCAACAAGCACCGTAGGGGATGTGCACATCCACAGGGTAAGGGGATAGGCTGAGGGCTCAACGAGATATCACCAACTCCAGCTTGGTCAAAATCTTGGTCAGCAGCTCCGGTCAACACCTTGGTCAACGCTGAGTCAACGCGGACAACTCCCAGTCAACGCTTGGTCAACCACCTTGGTCAACGCCCAGTCAACCCTTTGGTTAACCCTTGGTCAACGCCCTGGTCAACACCCGGTCAACCCTTCACCTCGGCTATGGCTGCCGGCATCTTCACCTTCGTCACCCTCGCCGCTTACTTCCCCTTCCTTCATTCTTCTTCACCTTCTTTTTTTTTTTTCTTTTTTTTTTTTTTGTGTGTGTTCGCCCCTGGCTATGTCTGTCTTCTTCTCCAGTGTCCTCCTTCCACACTTCTCCTTCTCTCTCCTCAGTCCCTCCTTCTCTGTCCTCCCTCTCTCTCTTCTTCAATACCCTGTGTCGATACTCCGCGGCTATGGCCGCTATCTTCCTTCTCCATCGGACCATACAACTCGCCTCACGGGTAAGTGACAACCAATCTTGGATCGCTCATCTCTCTCT